ACTTCCAAAATCTTGCCAAGAAAACCATAGGGACTTGTCCAGGCAATTGCCAGGAGTCAACACTGACTCAAAGGCAGACATAGACATAACACACACACACAACACACACACAATGCTTTTGGAAAGAGGAAAGCTTTGCAGTATGCCAGCATTCCATTCATGTTTTTTTTTTTAATTAGAAGTTTCATTTTTTAAAAAAACTTTGGCAGGTAACCTGGGGTAGCAAGAGAAGCATTCAGACGATTTTGCTGCCTATAAGTGCCATGTTAGGGCTGCAGCCTTAGCATCTTTCTTTGTAAAGCAGACATTCCCGTGTTCCTTTTGAAAGAACACAGTCAGTAAACCATTGCTTTAATGGACTAACAGAAGTGGTGTTAAAGCAGAATGGCCATTACTGAATAAGATTTTCCATATGTATATTTTCCATACATGCAGAAGCATAAAGTTGTAAAAACAGATTTTATCCATTGCATCAAAGCCTGCCAAACTGAATTCCCTTGAGACCAGGGAAAGGAGTTGTGTGATTCCACGGGGAAATCCGAAACACGTTTTCTTTGCTATTTTTTTTAAATAAGACTTTGATTTATGAGTATAGAAAACAAAAATTTTGCAGATTAATTTTTAATGCATCCCAAATTGGATCCCAGGAAATTTAGTTTAATTAGAAGCTGAGAACTCTTTGCTAAAAATCTCTTGTTCACTTCCTAGAATCCCAGATCTAGAGCTGTTTGGGAGAGATGACAACAATTAACTCAGTAGCATAGCTATGATCAAGAACTGTCAGGCCCTTTGTAAGCCTAGCAGATGGTGAATTGGTTCTTGGCCTAACAGGCAATGAAAACATGAGGAGTTCATAAAAGTACTTTTCCAGCACCATAATGTGAAATGCATAAACATGTTCCAATATGTTTATTAAAATAGGTTTGCTCGTCAGCTACAGCCAAGAATAATTCTCTCATGTAAGTGCTAACAAGCCTGGAATTACGACATTATTTCCAATATCCTGCCACCAAAGGATTTTAATAACTATATCCAGAGTGAAAAGTGAAGGTTGTGAACGCAAAGTGTTTACAAAGATGAGTTAGTATTTCAGACACAGGAATGGAAATAATCAACAGGAACAGATTCAGACACTTTAGTACAGTAGTAAATCTAAGCAGAAAGTACTGCTTGACAGAAATTTGAGAACTTTACCTTTCCAGGATGTTTCTGACTCATATTTATGACAGAAGGATATGCAAGGAAAATTATTTTAAGAGAAAACTGACAGGTCTCTAAGTGCCCTAAATTTTCCCTTGTGGAGATCAACAGTGTTCAAGGATTAGATGCTAAGTCAATGGAGTCTACATTTTACATAAGGAAAAAGTAAACATAGGGGTCCATGGGAAAATCATAAGTGGCTCTAGCATGTTACATCACTATTAAGCCAGCTTAAGTAAGTTGCAACAGCTAGAGGTGCTCATGGGCACCAATGTGCTAGCAGAGATCTCTCTTGATATTGGCCAGGCTCTCCACACCATTGACTTTATTTTTTAAATGCTTCTTTATTGCAGAAAAATCAAGTGGGCATATTACAAAGTAAAGGGCCCAACTCTTATTCATTTTCAAGAATGTTCATAGGCCTGATGGGCCTTCTTAGAAAGTAAAAATAATAAAGGTGCAACTCCAGCCCTAATGAAAAGTAAACTGGGATGGAAGGAAGGAAATATTTTGAGATATGTTGCCTTCTGATCAATGGTTATTTCATAAGATTTCAATGTTTCACCATTGCTGCAAGTTCAGTTAATTTTAGAATCCAATCTTCCACTGTAGGTCTTTCATTACTTTTCCAACTTTTTGCATACCATAATCTTGCCACACAGAATTAAAGCTGGTCTTTATACAGATTATATAAGCGTCATACAAACCATGCCATCACTATTTCAAGGTATGAAAAACAGACGTTCTTTAAAAAAAATGTACAGGAACACAATGTGATTTCTCTAGCTGTTCAACCAGCATTCTAAAACGTATTTTAAAATCTAAAGAAACTGAATGATGCCCTGAAATTTGGGGAAGAACCAAAGCTCTGTGGCTGACACTGAACAACAGAGGGTCTATTGATATCGAATGCCACACTGAGACATGCTTCAGATAGCTGTGAGTGGGGAAATGATAAAAGCTATATTTGATTTTTCAATTTATTTTTATTGATTTACTGCCACTTGTATGTCTCTCATACCCTAAATGGTCCAAGTGGTTCACACATAATTCCCAAAATACAATAAAAACAACATAAACTATAAACCAGACGGCCAACAACAACTTCCTATTCATCATTACAAGGAAAACCCTTCTCTGTAACAATATCTTCTGCAGGGTGGGAACCCATCATGTTCCCAAGATTTTCACAAACAGCTAGATCTTAGCAGAATGCCAACAGAATTGCTGCTATATAATTGGTGTTGATTTCGGGTAGACTATTGTTCCAAAGAGAGGGGCAGCAAGATTTTCAATTAAAGGTAATTAAAAGTGAAATATAGTTCAGATGTATATTCTATGGTCATGTATTTTAATCACTGCTCTTGCCCTATTAACAATTTCAACTTATTCGTCATTTTTATCACTCTCTGGGATCTGCATGCATGCCTGGGAAGTTGTAATGGTATGTGGGAAAGACCTTGGGAGACAGGGCCAAGAGATGCTGCCAAGGGGACTGTCAGATAAGAGACAGCATAGTCTGCAGCTGGATAGTGGATGGGGCAAGAAGGGACCCTCCCTAAGTTCATGGGCTGTAAAGGAGACAGTGGGAGAACTGTACTTTCAGACTTGCAAGATTCTGTTAATGTAGCTTTACATTAAAGTAGAATTAGCCCATCTGGTCATGTTTCCTGTCTGGTCTACCTAGTAAGGCTAACCTCAGTCTTCCTCCACTGTTGTCAGGTAAGGCTGGAAAGATGCCCATCTGGAAGTATGGAGAGCTGTTCTCCTTCAAGACAGACAATAGTTAGCTGGGTTGATGCACAATGTGACTTGGTGCATAAGGCAGTTACTTATGTTCGTTACTGTGTGTCAAAAGCAAATGTATTCAAAAAGCCATTCAATCTGTTTAGAAGAAATTTAATTTTATTTCCTCTTTGTTGCAACAGAATTACTTTGATTTTAGAAACTTTACCTAAAGCTTTGCACACAGACCCTGGGGCCTGGTAAAAATGATGAATAAGTTGTAATGTTCAAGGGGGCAGGAGACAACGGTTAAGCATGGAATGTTAACCATTAATAATAGTGGTTATTAATTTGTAAACATTATTTTTAAAAAACACCTTGAGATTATTGCTCAGGGTTTATATTGCAAAATAATGTTATCAAAGGTTATGGGTAACAAGGAGTAGCTGGCCAGGGATGGAAAGCTCGTGGACTTTGGTTTGATCTAAGCAAAGCACTATTGATTTATTATTTTCCAAGCTGGAACAGAAAGTGTGGTCATGAAATAAATTGGAGAGTATTTTTACAGTTTCAACAATATTGTAACTACTAGTGGTGTACGTAGGTAATTTTAAGCTCTGGACTTAATAACCTGACAGGCCCACCTCATTAGAGAGTAACTGATATCAAAAGAATACCCTATGCCTGCTGAATTTGGAAGCTCTCTGGTGTAAAGCTTTCCAAGGCAGATGTGAACTAGGCATTTCCCAGAGGTTTGAAGGACATGGATAAGAACTAAATCTTTATTGTGTTTCAAGAATGAAACCATTACAGACAGTTGATAGTCATTGGGCTGTTTAAGGCTGACACAGAACTTACATTTCCTAGTTCAAATCCAGTGGCCTCTTTTCCTGTATTCTCTGCTCTGTAACAAAATTCTTGTCTTCCATTTCTCACGCTCAGTTGTTACTAACACTTGCCTGCTGATATTTTCTGCATTTTTGCTCTGATAATTTCTTGCAGTAACAGGATCCTGCCACCCTGGACATCTAATCTAAACCAGGTGGTGAGAGCCCCCTCTTTC